CTAGTCAGTAACCATTGCTTGTTTTGGAGTTTAATGCACGTTACTTACACTTTTCTTTCAAGTCTCTGACTTTGGAATATTTAAGTAAGCCTTGTCTCTTTTTTTTCCTCGTAGAAAGTCATTATCCAACAACATCCAACTTTGTGAACCTGAAGAGTGTTGACCATTTCGAATCTTAATGCCACACCACTACTCCAGCGAATTTACACTACGACCGGTAACGACGACCAGAAGCCTGAAGAATTAAAATGCCAACACCAAACCTTCCCGTAACAGCTCTGGTCTACACCGTTCCCTCGCGTTTTAATATATTATTTTGTTTTATAACCACTTCTAAATATGGCTTGGTTCTTTTCTTCTTCTTCTTTTTTAATTAGAGAGTTTTGTTTTGTCTCCTGTTTACTTTGTGTACAACTACCTGCTTTTTATGACTCAGTTTTGATGCAGTGACAGTGAACAAAGCCGGCCCCCGCTGGCGAGGTGCCGTTCGCTCGAACAGGTGCTGTTGTGCGGAAAGGAAACTCTGTGACTAATGTAGGCAGCGGCTTTCCTTCTTCCAGGCTCTCCCCGTTGAGTTCCCGCTGAACTCCCGTAAATATTGACAGAGTTTTCAGATTGCAGCAAATATACTGTATGAGAAAATATTAATACGGATTCAAAGCATTTCTTACATCTCGGAAATTTTCTAATGTTTGAGAAATTCATAGGGAATATTTTTTATATTGCACCCTTTTTGACTTTCCAGTCCTGCGACTTTTTACTGTCCGTAGAAGGTCGGAGACGCTCCTGACTGGAGAATTAGGAGGAAGCCCACTGACCGCGCACTGTGTTCAGACCCCGCGCCCCCCAGGGCCAGCCAGCGCTTCCAGACGCGAGCTCTTCGGCGGCATTCCAGGACCGGGAGGGGGGACAGAGAAGGCGACGTCTTCCCTCCTGCTAAAATATTCAGGCAGCTTCAAACCTTAGTGCTTTCTTCCTTAACACATCCGTATTTCAATACTGTCCACCGTTGGAACATTTGGGTAGAGCACTTGCTTTGTATTAAACCTCCTTGTCTACATGTAAAACTGACCTTTCGTCACCGAGCAGGTCTGTGTCTTTCAGAGAGTTTGACGATCCGCGCTGGGGAGGGGAGGGGGAGGGGGCCATGGCAGTGTTCTGACGCTGAAAAGAAAGCGAGACCAGTTAAAGCTGACACCAGAGACCTGATGGGGCGTATTAACGGTATTGAACATTGTGTCCTTTGCGTTTGACCCTATGTATAGTTATGACGCCAGATTAGAGTATAGCAGCTTCAAGTTGTATTAAATGATATTTTGCTTTCTGTAATACTGTTATAAAATAAAGTTGGTTTATTCTCTAACCTTGTCATTTCTCTTTTTATAAAGGTTTAAAAAGATAAATTCAAGTGATATTTTCAGTCAGAAGTCCTGTTATTTTGTGGGATGTAGCCTTCTTGAAATCTGTCACTCAGATCTTTGATAATTTGATGCTGCCCTGAACATTGCTGATTTCAAACAGCCAGGGCAGCGTTGAAAGTTTGTAAATCTGATGTTTGGAATGGCAGACTCCTCTAGCTTTGTTTCATAATCGCCCACAGCTTTTATAAATCCTCCAAGGGATAATTTTGCTTGTGTGTGTGTGTTTGGTGTATTTTTTTTGTTTGTTTTGATTTGGGAAATATTTACCTGTATCACTGGAAGCCTGCTTCTGTTTCACGTTTTGTCTGCTTTCCATGGGGCCTTGAGGTGTCAGGCAGAAGGGGCTGTGCCGAGGGCTGCGTCTGGCTAATTGGGATGGCGCATGGTGGAGCTTTTGCCGAGACCCACCAGATTAAGTGCTGAATTTTCCTTTAAACATTAAAAGCATTACACAGCAAATGACCAATGAGAATATTCCATTTAAAATGTTCTGTAGAATTCCTGTCCCATGTCATTTAAAGTAGGTGTTAGATATAATGTGCATGACTGCCACCTCTGGGATCTGTTTCCACTGGATTCTCTCTCCCCTGTGAAAGGTCTTTCTCACTGTCTCTAGAACGGTTACACAATCAGCTCTTCCTCTCTGAAGAAGCCTATTTCAGCAAGCCAGGACTTAGAAATATTATGGAACCAAATGTGATTCTGTATATTTTTCATCAGAAAGCTTATGTATATAACATTCATTTTTAAAGCCGAGGTTGATCTTGCCAGAGATTTTTGAGAACAGTATCCTTCCATGCCCCTAAAGACAGTTGCAGTGATAGGAGGTGTGTCCACAGCAGCGCCAGTGGATGAGGAGATGCCGTGTTCACCTGGGGCTCAGCCTGATTCAGCTCAGACAGCAAGGACGGGGGTCCCAGTGACATCAGGAACACCTGTGGGGGACAGTGTTGATGATGTCACCTGTTATTAAAGCAGCGAAGTTGGCTTATTTGATATATTGTATTTCTAACAAACTATTTCTATAATAGGATGTTATAATCTTTATAAACTGAGCTTTCAGAACCCCAAATGATAGAATGAGAAAGTAGGTGTCAACAAGTTCACTGAGGTGAGACGTCAGGTGCTAGTTGTGTATCATACGTCAGAAGCAGCACAGTTCGGAGGTGATGCTCAATGATCCCCTTTAGTTGCATGGGGTTTGTATAAGTGCGTGTTGTTTTACATGATTCTCACGGCAGTCCTGTGTGGAACGCAGCAAACGGAGCGATGCATTTTCCACAGTCACGACGGTAAAAAATAAGGTTTTTTAAAAAAATGCATGGAGTTGGTTTATCTTGGGTATTTGACTGTCTCAAATAGCTTCTCTTTTTGTTTATGACGTACACTGTCGCATTGCTTGCTGCACAGACCACATTCATGGAGTAATTACCGCCAGAACTCTGGCAATGAGGCAGACTAGCCACAACTACTGCCCAGCATGGACTTCATCAAGTATATCCCTTCTCAATGGATAACATGATGTGATTTCTGAGAATATTATAGAGTTGAGAATTCAAAATGACATGAAGGAAGGAAGGGAGTCATAGTTCAGATGAAACAAGATTATCCATGAGTTAGAGGCTGAGTGATGTAAATGGGGATTTGTTACATTATTTTGTTAAAATATTCCATCACAAAGGCTAAAAATGCCACACAGCCCCATGATTTTAAACAAGTCTGCCCTCCAGGCCCTCCCAGTGAGAGCATGCGTTCTGCATTGCACAGCGCTCTGCTCGGTTCCCACCAGGTCTCACGCACATGAGAGATTGGGACGTGAGGCCGTCCCTGCCGAGACACTGAAAGCAGGGAACGTACCCCCAACAGTTTGTTCAGAAGTCAGCACGGACCCTGGCCTGCACGTGTCAGACATCTGCCGGGATTAGGTCATGGTGGAGAGCTGGCCCCAGCAGAGAACATGACCAGCTGGCCAATCCGAGGGGTCAAACTCCTGACCCTTGGCCACAGGTTTAAAAATAATGATCCTGTGTATTTATGATTCCAGATTAGATTCATAGAAGCTTCGAGTTATACAAAATATTTGCTTCAAATACGCTTGCTTCAGAATTCTACAGATGGGTATTTGAATTCCCTACTCCAAGGAACAGCCAAGGAACTTGAATGAAGGCACTTAAGCATCTATAAAGTAAGGGTACTGACACATTCCAGTGTTGGGGTATTCTGGTGCTCAGATGAAATAAAAACGTATAAAATGCCTAGTGGAGCTCTTGCCACAAAAATGCCAAGAAAATGGTAATCATTATGAGTAATAATACTGTGCATGAGTTAATCCACCAAGGGCAAATTCACAGGAGATAACCACCAGTCTGAGCTGTTCTTCTGAGGCCTTTCCATAATAGAATTCTTTCTGTCCTGTTAGGGGGTTACTGGGGAAGCCTGTTAGGGAGGTTTTGGCTTTGGAGGTGAGTATACTGACCTCGCTGAGCCCTGCATTGTCGGGTGGATGCAGCTAAGGAGGCTGGTGTTAAGAACCAAACCTTTTCTTAAGACTCTGGCTGCAGACTTCCTAACCAGAGACTCCTGAATGGATTTCAAGGGGCTAAGCTTTTCCCTAATAGTTCCAAAATCATGATTATATGCATTTTTCCTAGAGGTAAAAGATGATTCCTGGCTTTCAGCAAATTCTCAAAAGTATTTATTACTTAATTAAAGGTTAAGAACCTCTGCTCATAATCTGGGTCTGGAATGTGGATTTGCAATGTATAAAAAGTAGAAAGTATTTTAAAATTCCCCATCTGGGGGTGATTAAGATGTCTTGGATACACGTTTCTTGTTTACTTTCCATCACTCATTTGCCTGCGTGAATGCTGTTGTGCAAACCCTGATACCCTCAGAGGCCTCTTCTGAGTACCACACTAACTGTGGAGTCAGAAAGCAAGGATCGCAAGGGCATTTTGCTTTGAAAACAAACCAGAAAATTGAACTGTGATTTCTGAGACACAGTTTTGCCAAAGAACTCAAAATTTCAAGAAAAAGTTCTTGGTGTACAGAAGTGTTTATCTGTCCTCAATTTTCCAGTTGCTCCTAAATGCTATCTAGAAACTAATAGAGGCTGTTCCCTGGTTAGATTAATTCTAAGTCTTTATTTTTATTTTTTAAAGATTTTATTTTTCTAGAGGGGAAAGGAGGGAGAAAGAGAGGGAGAGAAACATCAATGTGTGTTTGTCTCTTCTGTGCCCCCTACTGGGGACCTGGCCCACAACCCAGGCATGTGCCCTGATGGGGAATCGAACCAGTGACCCCTTGCTTTGCTGAGCCACACTAGCCAGGGCCCATTTTAATTTTTTTTAAAGGGTTACATATAATACTTCAGGGAACATAATGTGTGCCCTTCCTCACCTTCCCTTTTATCTGCTTGTGCAGGATCAGGATGTGAAGGAGAGGTCGTGGATGTGCAGTCTCCTGGGATCAAATTTCCAAATTACCAACGCTGTTAACGGGGGAGATGGGAAGATGATATTTGCAACTTTAGGTTAGCTCTGTTTCAAAAAATTCTTCAGTAAATTTTCATGGACTAAATGACAACATAACAAAACGTAAGGTGTTTTATTGAAAGTCTCACATTGGGGAAGCCACAGGGTATTTGTTCAGGTTCAAGGACATTAGAAATAAGGTTAGGAACTTTGGGAAGTAAGACTAGGAAATGAAAGGCCATTCAGGCTTGTGGGGGCATTTGATCCCTGGTTAAGGGTGATGTAAGACAAAGTAGGAAGACTGTTGGCCTGGTCGAGGTGGCAGCCGCGATGAAGATCTGAAGCAGTCCAAGCCGGACCGCGTTCTTCATTGACTGGACCATGGGCACCAAAGAAGGAAGGCATGGCCGTGCGGCCGTATGGCCGTGCTCTGAAGCGCTGTCAGATTGAGTAGCAGTGCCTGCAAGCAGATTATAGCAAAACCCTTGGACTTGGTCGCTCCATGGGACAACTAACATATTTCTGTTCCTGTCTACATAGAAAAACAGTCCAGCTCTATTCAGGATTTCACTGGAAATTCCCTGCTCTCGTTCCATTCAACAGCAACAAAAGAGATAGGTCTTACTTTAAGCTAGCTGGTTATGCTTATCACCGATAACATGGATGTTTAGATCCCATGTATTTCCACCGTGGCTGGAAAGGCTGAGATGGTGGAATGGCATCCACTGAAGCCAAAAGTCAGGCTTCTGAAGTGCTCATCTCCAAAAGGTGAACAAACGCTGGTGGCCGAACCACGGATTTGGCTGGCAGCTGGAAATACGATGCATCCATTCACGCCTTCTGTTCCAAAGAGCATTTTTACACAAGCTGATTTCCACCAGAGGCTAAAAAGAGATCCCTCCCAGAACTGAAAGAATACTGTTCTTCCATATGGCATGAACACTGCTGTTCTAAATTACCCCAGTCTGAAAGCCCCAGCACACATTTTCATTGTGATCAAATGCACAAAAACACAGAACTGAGGGTCTTCAGTCAGAGGGTGAGTTTTGTATTTTTTTCAAGAAGTGCAAAGAGAAACCAATAGCTCCCTGGATGCATATGAAGAATTTGAGGGTAGGGGGAAGAAGCAGAAAATATCCAGCCTTGGTGGTGGATTCCTGCTTTTTTTATTATCCATACGATCTTTTGTATGATTGTATGTCACTATGGAAATTGGTGCATTCTTACAGGTGAACAAATTCGTTATGTTTCATAAAGTTCATCACTCTAATAGACTGTTAGGTTCATATACAAATATTGGAATATAAACAGACTGACACTTAGGACATGTTAAGCATCTTGTGTTCATGTTAACTAGGAAAATAGTAATCACTATTTTAACTACCACTTTGAATGAAATATTTAAGATTTCTATGTTGGCTGTTTGGGGCTCTCACTGAGAGAATTCTGCCAGCGAAATGTTGAATTCCTTCCTCATTTAGGAATGTTTTGGCTCCCTGATGTTTTGGCTTTAAAGGCAAAGTCTTGAATTATTCTCTCATGAGTTAGGTGAACATTCTGCTCTCCTTTTGCCAACACCAAATTGCCAGAATTTCCAAGTCAAGTCGTGCTGAAAGCCTCATGCGTGGGTGCGCCATACCCAGTGTCCAGAGACGGCACTCGTTCAGTGATTTGGTAACGTGGTTGTGAAAGCAACTGGGAGAAGGAGAGAAGCAAACGCAGGGCCAGGATGATGCTTATGAAAGTGTCAAGAGCTGTTGAAGTGCAGGAGGAGGAGGTGTCAAATCCTCTCACAGGAAATGCTCGGGCCATTTGCCTTCTGCAGTGTGATTGATTTCTACCAGCTTCTTTACTTCTAAAATAATGTGGGCTTCCACAGGATTAGGTGATGTTGATGTTTAGGGATTTTATTTTTAAAATATGCCCTTCAGAGTGGGCATAGTCTATAAAAGTTAGAAAGTTACAATGTGTCCAATCCATAAAACACATCCAAGAAAATCTTACAATCTTGGGGCTCTCTGAAGAACTGCTATTTGAGCTGAGTCTCAAAGAAGTCTTGGACAATAGTTGCCACTTTTCGATATGGTTCATAACAAGCATCTTGCTGTGGCTCTTATTTATGAACCAGTGCAGGCTAAGCGGTTGACCACTACTCTCTGAGCAGAAGTTCAGTGCACTCTATCCATTGATCGGTCCCCAAGGGTCACGTTCGTTTCTTACGCTGGTACAGGGAAGAGCCAGCCTTGCTGTTGTGTCGGTGATCAGGAATCTGGGACAGTTCTTCTTTGACTGAAAGGAAGAACATCAGTTAGTACTTTGGAAACAGCTGAGTGTCACAGTGGTTACTGTCCAGCACTTCTACACTGGTGGCCCCAGCAGGTTACAGAAGTCCAGGTCTTCTGAGCAAGTCCTAGTGCAGGAACTCTGCTGGCCTCCTCAACCATTTCCAAGAACATGTAAACTTTATAAAGAATGGTCCCAGGTAGAGTGGACAAATAACCATGGTAATAAAAAGTTGTTACATGCTAAGTATGTTTTATATGTAGTAGAGTAAGTGTGGGTTAAATTTATTAAGATCCTCATATTCAGTAAGCATTTATTAAGCAGGTCTCTGGGCCAGGCGCTTGGGATATGGAAATGAGGAAGATCGGTTTTCTGTCCCTGCTGCTCCCCTCGGCCCAGATGTGTCTGGGCCTCTGCAGTCCTTAGATGTGTCAAATTTACTCTTCCCTTATCTTTTGGCATCTTTTACTGAAAACTGACAGTTTCAAATTTTTTCCATTAACACACTACTTAACTGCTTAAAATGTAACTTCAGTGAAAGCTATTCTCACTAAAATCTTAAAAACTTACCAATTATATTCTAATTATACTAAATCTAGTGGCACATTCCAGTCCCCAGTTTTCTTCTTCTGTAACATGTGACATGCGCCTCCCCCCACCTCCCAGCCATTCTTCTCCCTGTGCTTTTACTGTGTCCATCTTCCCGCATTCTCTGTTCCGCAGCTTGAACCGTTACCTCTCGGCAATAGCAGATTTGATCTTTAGCTCTGAGCTGTTTCTTGAGATCCCAACAGGCATCCCTTGAGATCTAATATATCAAAACAAACAACAAAAACCCCACAAGTAAACCTGCTTTTTTATTCTGGAAAGGTTTATTTTCAGAATTATAACTCACAAGTTATTCAAGCCAGAGAGCAGGAACTTGCAGTCTCATGGAAACTAACACACATTTATACAATTGAACCTGAAAATGTTCCTTTTGGCTCCCATGTCAAATCCAAGCAATTTGTCCCTGCCAGGCACTGTACATGCCAGGCGCCCCAGGACACGGGTTCTTCGAGGCCTCCACTGCGTGTCATCGTTGTCTGGAGAAGGTACCGATGCATCAATGGTGACAGGCTCTGGGCTACGTGAGCCTCGGGGTCTAATAGCTAATATTTGTTGAGCAGTTATTATGTGCCAGACTCTGTGTGAAGGCCCTTGCATTCCTTATTTAATTCTTGCAATGACATTTTGTCGTGGTCACCATTGTAACACCTTACAGATGACCAAACTGAGGCAGAGAGAAATCAAGGGGAAGCCGTTTGCTCAGGATCACAGAAACGGGCAGATTCAGGATTGGATCCCAGACAGTCTGACTCCACGGCTCACACCGTCAACTGCTCAGTTACACTGAGTATTCCACCTAGAGTATTCCACCTTCCACCTAGAGTATTGCTGATCCAGAGGTGTTGCTTGAGATGGCCCATGGCTTAGGTCACAGGTGGCAAACACAAGGCCAAATCCGGCCCTCCACCTTGTTTTATCTGGCCTGGCACCTTGTTTCTACCTGGCAGCAGCGCCGAGCTCCCGCTTCACTGTTAAGGAGTAGTTACATTTACACAGCCCTAAAGTTATATTCAGGCCTTTGAAGGCAACCGCGAGGCTGATGTGGCCGCTTGTGAAAATGAGTTTGACACCCCTGCCTTAGATTATATAAGCTCATTGGAATATGAGTAATTTCTTTTAATTTTAAAAGCTAAGCTGCATGACCAGTGCTTTGAATGAGGAACTAGGATGCAAACTGCAGAGCTGAAAATGGCCGAGCTGAACACTGAGACTGAAAGGAGGGAACCCGGAGAGCAGAGAACAAAATGAGGAGACCAGGAGGCAGCTCATCAACCGACCGTGAATTCTCTCTCTGGTAAATAGTGTGTGCTCGGCACAGTGCAGAAAGCAAGAGGAAAATTGATCCACCTGAGAGCGCTTGCAATTTGGCTACGATTTTATTTCCGTGCATCTACAGTGGATGCGGAGAGAGGTTAGATGGGTGAGGGTAGGCAGGTGAGCCCCTGTTTGTTACTGTGGAAAACTCTATGAGTAACTAATTTTTTCCTTCGGGGGGAAAATGTGATCTTCTTGACCCAGGCTTTGTCATTATATGGAAGAATCACTACCATCAGTAATTATAACTACTCTTGTTACAGAAAGGGATTGATCAATCCTCTTAAAGCCTTTGTAAAATTGCTACCTTGTTTCAAATTCTCCTAGCTATATAAATAAATACATTTATTTATTTATGTATTTTCCATCACCATTTATCCCCTCTATGCCTCTTCGACCTTTACCCCTCCTCTCCTCCCCCACAATTACTACACTGTTGTCTGTATCTGTAAGTTCTTCTCCCTGCCCCCCACCCCCAGTTGTCTTTCATATTGGTGGTGAGTCTATTGGTCCGGGTCAAAAGGATTCGTTCATTCGACAGACATCTATGGAACACCTACTCCATGTTCAATACTCTAAGGGTAGTGCATTGGCTGAGAGGGCCAGCTCTGGAGCCAGCTAGCCAGGGTTCAAATCCTGACTCTACCATTTTCTAGGTGAGTGATCTTGGGAAATTTGCTTAATTATTGCAAGATAATTTTAATGACAATTATCACGGCACATACACTTCCTTCTTGGAACTGATAAACCAGCAGGGGTAATAATGGCTGAAAATTGTTCACAGCAGGCACTGTGAAGAACCTCATATGTGTCGCCTCACATCTCCCCCACAGCAACCCTGTAGTTATACCCTGTTGCTATCCCTATTTTACAGATGAAGAAACATCAACCTCGAGGTTGAGTGGACACTGCTAGAGATCTAGAATGCAAACCCCATTTGGTTTGACTTCGTAGTCTGAGCTGTTAACAATTGCACTCTGCCAACCCTTAATTATTCTGATTTTCCCCAATACTTCTGTGATTGCTGACTACTAAGTGTATATATATATATATGAAATTCAGGGAGGGAGGTCTGGCCACACTGCACATTTTCAGTGCTTGAGTTGTCTGTCTGAGAACGGCAGCTGCAGAAGGCCAGAACCTGATTACTTACCTGACCTTATTTTGGACCTAATGCCATACAAAAGCTTTCAGGCATTTAATACACGCTTCTTAAAAAAATAAGAATAGCTTTGGCCATGTCGGTTATTTTCTAGAGCAATTTGTTTTTGCTCAGAAGTACAGTATTTTGGGGGGCAAAGAGTGACACTTAAAATAGAGGTTCAGGAATTTCAGGATGTGGGGAGGTAAGGTGATCCAAAGTTCCGCCCTGCGAGACATGGAGTGCCCATGGCCTGGTCGAGGAAGGGTTTGGCAACAGGAAGTTCAAGGCTCAGACCTCCACCTCAGGAGCTACTCCTCAAGGCCATCGACAGATTGAATAGTACAGGATGTTAGATAATTTTCTTCCTTTTTGAGAAAATTGATGTTCTCTACATACTAATTAAATTTACGTGCACCATTACCTCCAAAGGCTGGCAGTGTAGGGATTAATGTTGAGTAATTACAATACCTCCACATGCTTTCCATCACATCTTAAAATGCCTCTCCTGTCTGATGGGCTGGGGCCAGGCAGACCGAGTCTCTGTTTCAGAATGCAGGACTCTGGGGTCCTGTGAACACACCAGTGAATCTGTCAATGTCCCTTTCTTTACAGGAACAAAACAGGAATGATTACACTTGCCATAATCCTGGTTGGAAGATTAATGATGTGACATTAGACCATCTGTTTACAGTTTTTAAGTGGGAGCTGCTAAATAGAGACACACACTGGTGATATTTTATTTGGGGCCAAGCGATCTCATTTGTCCTCAAACTGGAGAGAGGGTATTACTACATTCCCTCAGGAAAGTGACGGCAGAAAGAACTGTATTTTTAAAAGCTGTATGGTTTTAGAGGTTTTATTTTAAAAAGACAGGAGAATTTGGAATTAAAGGGACTAGATCTACGTAAAAGTGAAAACATGCGGAGTCCAAGGTCATTTGCTAATGCTGTAAAACTTAATCAAGAATCACTGCAAAAAAGTTTGCCCAGTTCCCACTTGGGACGGGGTAGCAGGCGGAATATAAGCAAAGGGTGTTTGAATAGTAAATTCCTCAGACAGTAACATAGTGCAGCCTGCCCCTCCACTGCCCCCCTGGCCAGGTAACTGTAAGGGAGAATGCCCAGGACTCCAATCTTTCCACCCCACCATGCTTGGGAACCAGTCTCAACAGGCTGAACACTGACAGCAAGGAAGACTGGGCGGTCCAGTCAGCCGGGCGGTCCTGTCTCAGGAGCCTCCAGGTGGTTCATGTGTAGGCCACTAGTGACAGAGTGCTAAGAGTCATCAGTGTTCTTTCCAGCAGTAAACTTCCAAGGGGGCCCCAGTACAGTAAGTAGCTGATGCAGATTGTTGTGAGCTCCTGTCACATCCGCACTCACTCCTCTGTACTCCTTACCTGGAGCCTGGAAGGCCAGGCACACTTCAGTGAGAGCCAGTGGAGAAGAACCACAGAACATGGGGGCTCATTACATTGTGGGGGGTGTCCCTTAGCTGTTTAGAAGATCTGACCTCTGGTGGGAGTGTGCAGCTCTAACTTTGAGACAAGACTTACGGAGAAAGGGCAGGTCGTTCTCACAGCCCTTTGACCGGACATCTGACGAGGCCAGAGCCAGGAGCATGCAGATTGCAGCATCTCTCCTTCAGTGTCTAATGACTTTGCCAGATGCTTTTCATGGTTTTCCAGAACTGAGTTTGTTTTCTTTCATTCAGTTCTGCATGCCCATAGGAAAAAATCTATCCCGGTATCTAAAACAATCCCTGGCTTATGGTGCAATAGGTTCTTAAACATTTGTTGATTGAATGGAGAACTCTTCCTATCCAGAAGTATAATGCAGATTTGGGGCCGGCCTCACAGTTGGTGAAACAGTCCCACCCAGAGAGCGTTTGCCCTCATCCTGGGAGGCTGACCTTCTTGCTGTCCCTTGGGTTAGATGCATTATTGCAAAAAATGGAGGCTTTGAGAGGGATAGGACAGACCTGTAATTCAGCAAGTCTAGAAGTCCAGAAAGGCTCAGTCACCTGTAAGAATTTAGAATAGAGAGAAGTGAAGGGAATGCGAAGAGAGAACAGGTCTGTGGGCCCTCCACTTCCTTCACACACGTGCTTCAGAAGCAGTCCCAATTGGATTGCGCTGCCAGCTGAAGGTGGTTCTTTTTGTCTGAGACCTGATTCTAGACAACTTACACGGCAAGGGGGTGTTGATGTTGAAGGCGGAAGGGTGTCACTACACAGTGATCATGGGGATGTACACGCCGGGCAGCTCTGGGCCTGGGCCTGGGCCTGGGAGCAGCACCCTGCCTGCGTTTTCTCCGGCGTCAGCCGCTGGGATGCTGGGCACACTCTCAAGGGCAAGCTGACTTTTCCAGGGCATTCTGAAGGAATGTGGTTGATATGCTTACACCTCAGAATTATCTCAAAGAGTACAACCCTATAGACCCATTTAAATTTTACACACTGTAGATGATTTCCCCTGAATGTTACACAGGGATAAAGCTATAAAACCAAGATTCACCCTTTTTTTGCAGTTTATCCTAAAACCAGATGTCCCGCTGAATGATCTGACCTATGATAACTCATAAGTAGAGACCAGTAAGAGACTGGGACTCAAGAGGTTCTCTTGGCCTATTGTTCACCTCATTTACTGCTTGGTACATTTTTGAGATACTAAAATTTTATCTCACCGAAGAGGCAGCTAGAGATGACACTTGGAAGTGACATGAGCTATGCAAGTCCCTGACTGTGATGTTAGCGCCCTATCACTGCTCCACAGGGTGCTCACACAGCAGTGGGAGCCTGGCGTGCTTGTGACTAACAATGACCATCTTAACAGCTTTAAAAGACCTTCAAAATGGAAACGTTTGCAGTGGCTAGGAATTAAACCTACTCGGAAAACTCTGAGGGGCCTTGTTATTAGGAAGTTGGGGATTTTTAATTTTCCTTTTTCAGAGGCTCTTTTCCAGGGCTCAGTGGTAATGAATGGCCGAGTGGCAGGACATCCAGCAAACTGGTCTTGGGGCAGTGGAGGATAAACGGACTTAATAAAGAAAACGATTTATCACGCAAATGCTGTGGAGCAAGGCGGACCACGGCTGGGTAGCACTCAATAAGAGCTGTTCATAAAAATGAGACACAAAAAATGAAAGTCGGGGGGATATTTGAGCACATGATGATCGAAAATGTAATGATTCCACAATGTACTCTCTGTCCTCTAGGATTTTGTATGTTCTAAATCTCATAAAAATGAATATCCCCATTTGTATTTCTATTCGATTTTAGAGCATATGTGATCACATTAAAAATTCTGAACATCTGTTTATATAATACTATCCATGAAGGCATTGCTTGGACTTGCTAAGTGTTTGTGGGAGAGAAAGGGTTTTTAAACTTGTTTTATTTAGTACCTTAATATGATACCATCTAACTTAAGAAATATTACTGTTTTCGTTGATCTTGCTAAGGTACTATTAATGTCTAAGGTTAATCCATGTTTTGCTGGGCACACTGTTAACAGACAGTCTCTCAAGTTACAGTCCTGTTTTATTAGTTTCAATTTTACAGCAGAATAAATGGTCTCAATTTAGGACCCAACTGCCCACGTCTAAATCACTGTAAGTTTCCCGAGGTTTATTTTTGTTTGTCTGGTTGATTGGTTTTGGGTTCCCCCCCAACCCACCATAAATCTACAGCCTCATGGAAGGTTCACACCAAGCATCAGATGTGTATTAGGGCTTGGCATGTTGCCAAACGCCGCAGTGTTTGGTACGTTTCATTAGTAGAAGTTCAGTGGCTGAGAAAGAAGTGTGTGCACACACTCACAGGCACACACACACATCTCACGGAGAGAAAGCAGACCATGAAAAACGTTTTAATGTTTGCGAGTCTATTGCCCTGAGAGACAGAGACAAGCAAATCACACACCGAAACTGCTGATTGGCAGTAAGGACCCCTGCCCCTGCCCCAGGAGGCCTTAAGAGGCTGGCCGTGATCCGCACCCAGAAAGGATTAAACTTTGCCCCATTCACCAATGACGTTATCTTGAGAGAGCTTTTCTTAAGAACCTACAAATCAAAGAGATGTGTTGCTCCAGGCCTCCCAGAAAGCACTGTCCTCTCGTAGGCTTGTTGCAAAATTGTGCCATGGGAAAGGACGGCCAACCCCTGCCTTGTGCGGCTTCACACTTACCCTCCATCAGTTTGATCCTGAAGTAGGCAATGAGGAGGAGCAGCAGCAAAGCCACAGGCAGGAAGACCCCGGAGAGCAGGAACCAGCCCGGGAGCTCCCTCAGGAATGCAGACGACAGTGCAGGGCTCATCGCCAGCCCCACAGTGCACCCGGACCGTGAGGTGCGCACTGGGGATGAGGGCTGCTCACTCCGCTCCTGTTTTCTTCTGGGAACCTGGCCTTTGCTCAGTCCATCACAGTGGAACTTTTCATGGACTTTGCTCTATTTAAACAGCCCCGTGGATTCTGAGAGGATTGCTGGCAGGTTACTCTGTGACTCAGCTGCACAGGGTCGAGGAATTCAAAGGTGATTCTCCCACTTCACTCCAGAGAGGAGTGTTTACCTGGCAAGTTTGGAGATGACACCAGGAAGCCTAGATTTCTTTGTATTCAGTTTATCTGGAGTGAAAAGTACCTGACTTCAAGCAAACCTCATCGTTTTCTATATATGTATTCATATATTCCCTGAAGTAGGAAGAACTTTTCCTGCATTTTTTAAGTTTTGGAATTAAAATGACTTAGTAGCCATGTTAATACACCTGTGAGTGAAACTTTCTTTGTCTAGAGAAAGTGAATTTTCCTTCATATTCGTTGATACAACTAATCTCAAGTAAAGAAAAACAATATTTTTTCCATATGTGAAAGCTCTTCTTAGTGTGTGTTGCTCTGAATGTCTTTCTGAGTGGTGCACTCGTGTATTCATTTATTCAACAGACGTGCAATTCTGCTAGAACACAGCCTCTTGACTAGATGCTGGGTGTGCAAAGGAGAGGAAGTCGTGGTCCTGTGCTCTGAGAGGAGACAGGCACAGAGACAATGGCCACAACTGATGATGACAGGACAGATGGTAACGTGGCCCCTCCTCCCCTCGATGCACGAGGGTTTGCCTCCTGCATTGGGAGTTGTATTCTCAGCTCCCTTCTGCTTACACATCCCTGTGGCCCACCATCTGCAGTAGAAGGTGGGCCCTAACTGGTAGTGATGTGGGCTGTGTGGTAACTATAAAGTTTCTGGGAAAAGAACAGGTAATATACGATGTTAACTTGTTGAGTAAGTTACATTGCCCCTGACTGCTTCAGCAAAACATTTTCAAAGATGCTACTCTATTAAGCTAAAACCAATGGCCAGAATGGCTATCACATTGTACCATTTGTGGGGGGAGGGGAATTGGCAGCTACCTTCTTGGGTTCATGCCTCTTCTTATGGTCTAGTCCCCTCTCCTCCCCGCACTGGGTAGCGGCTTTGGTGAGTGGCCGACATTCATACATGAACTTGCTGCTGGCAGTGCCTCCTGAGTCCTTTCAGGAAGGATTTTGCGTGGCCATGCAGTCTCAGTCTCAGCTGTGAAGTGGGTCCCCTAATTATAAAATAATAAGGATGGGGAGGGTCTTGGAAATGCTTGGCTGGCATTTCTGAGCAGAAGCTAGTAAACAGCTTCCTCTCAGGAAAGAGACATCTTAATTTGAGGAAGGCACTTAGAGTAACTGAGATTAGGCATTTGCACTTTCTTGGCTTCCCTTCTCCCACTCTGCAAATCCCGGAGTGGTGCTGCTGCTACCCCTCCCATGTGCCCTCCAATGAGGGGCCTCTCAGGGGCTTTTTCAGCTTGAGCAGGATGCTAATTAGTAAAGTGTCAATCTACAAGAAACTTCCATGACCAGGTGACATTAGCAGGGAGTTGTCAGGCAGCTGTTAGACTGACTGTCATGTTCAGAACTTCTGTCTGTTTTATTCCATTCAGCAAGCCTGCATCGAATGCCTAGACAAAGGTAAGTGAGGGGAACCAGCAAATACATACATGACAGTAGTAGTGTGAGCTCCCAGACTGACAGCAATGAATGCAATGGGAGCCCTGAGTAGAGACTAATTAATTCCAGTTACAAAACTGGGCTGAAGTCATGAGAAATAGGATGTGAGCTGAGCCCGAGCATGAGGAGCTGAGGGATGCCCTCCTTAAACTGATGTGTGACAGTAGGGCTGGACGTGGTTTTGGGGGGACAGGGAAGAACTGAGAGTGACTAAGTGAGTTGGGGTTCAGGCCAGAGAGTGTCTTCAGAGGTGGAAAGTGGGGTAGCATTGAAGCGTATAGACTTGTGAATGCCCTGTGAGTGCTCTACTAAGGTCTCCACTGTTTGGACAAGGAAGACTAGTCAATGGTCTTTGATCATGGAAGTGCACGATCTGACCTGGTTCATGAGCACTTAGTTAGCGCTTAAGAAAATGGACTGAAGAGAAAAGAGATCAGAATAGGCCATCTCAACATGATAGCAAGATACAGAGTCGAGGAAGGGGGTGGCAGAGGGAAGGGGAAGAAGGGGCCAGGCAGTCTGCAGAGATGACATGAACAGTCCTTGGTGAATAATTAATTATACAGAGATAAGTAGATGTCACCAATGATACTGGTATTAAAGTTTTTCTTTATGAAAAAGGTTACATTGCTGGGAACTTCTAAAGGATTAAATGTCAGAATTTATTATCCTCCAGGGCTCAAGAACTTTTATCTATAAAGGCCCTTATCCCAATCCAAACTGGGTGCTGGGGGTTCTGCTCTGTAGGCACAGAAAGTACAGAAAGATGGGCGTTAGAATGCGCTGGTAATACATTTGATTTACTGAATTTTGGGGTGGGGTTCCATAGAGAATCTGTAAATTGCTACCACAATGACAGCAACTTCTTTGCCTGGCTCTCTACCCTGTGTGGGAATTATCATTAATATCCCTGGAAAATATACATCCATGAAAATAGACATATTGCATTGGGGATTAAACTCCCCTGTTGATTTCCTTAATAATGAATGCTTCCTTTGTTGATTTGCATAATGATTTAAGGCACAAGTGATTGCGGATTTTAATATTTGGGAGTCAAATTCCTCAAGTCGTACTCTTAGAACACCTATTGAATATTCTTAGTGACAGCTGGGCAAAAGCCTTCCTTAGATAGTTATGACCTATTGGAGGTTTCGATGCCACCGAACCCATCGGGCCTCTGGTTTGGATTCCGCATTCATCTGACTGGGCCATAAAGTGTGACTCATTCTAATGACATGACACAGAACAGTGCAAGTCCATCAGTCTGTCAGTGGAAAAGTGCCAAAGTGCCATCGACTGATACCTGTCTTATCAAAGCACATGCAGCAATAAAGCCAGTATAAGAAATTAAAGGCAAACGAAACCGACAGATTTCAAATAAAGTGCATTGACCTCATGAGGCTGTTAGTGTTTTGCTGAAATGCAGCACCGCTCACAATGCCAGCGTGGTACTGACTTACTCTAGTGGGAGCCTGTTGAGTGGGAAAGCCCATCTTCTTCTGCCTCCCGTTAACCGTCCCGCCGAGCTGGGCTCACTAGTGCACGTCCATTACAGTGGCATCACTTGGCACCGGTACCACAGTCAGTACAGAAATGGGGACTCTGAAATCGTGTGGTCGTGGTGGTTTATAAGGTGCTCATCAATGAAGAATATGATCATGGAAGTGATGATAAAAAATGTAAATTCTTTGTAAACTTTGAGAAAAGGTCCACCAGCTTTCATTTATTCCTATCTGTGGGTAAGAAATACTGAGGGCTTAACACGTGCTCTGGAGGCCCCGGTTTGTGGGCTATGAGCATATCCACGGATAAGAAGACCAAGTCCCCGGCTTTATGCAACTTGCATACCCAGGGGAGCAGACAGGTGATGTGCAATAGTAGATAACACGGAACACCTGTATTGTGCCAGGTAGTAGTCTAAGCACTTCACAGGTTCTGTCTCACTCCAGGCTCATGTCGACGCCTTTGAAGTAAGCACCATTTCTACCAACACCATTTTATAAGAAAAATTTTGTGGCACTTTCATACTCACATCGTAGCAGATCCAGGGTGTGAACATGGAGCCCAAACCCTCTTCCGCTATGCTAGACTCACCGCCTCTCCGCCATGTAGAGATATACTCGTTCAGTGTTCAGTCGTGACAACTGCTCTGCAGAACAATGAAGAGCACAACAGAAAATGCTAGTTTTAGGTGTGGTGGTCAGGGAGGGTGTAGGCCTGTTAGGGCTGCCATGACAAAACACTGCAAACCAGGGCGCTGAAACAACAGAAATACATGTCCTCACGGTTCTGGAGGCCGGAAATCCCAGACGAAGGTGCTGGGAGTGTTGGTTTCTATTGAGACACCTCTCGTTGGCTTGTGGATGGCATCATCTTGCTGGCCCTCACACGGCCTCCTGTCTGTGAGAAGACACTCCTGGTATCTCTTCCTCCCCCTGTGAGAATACCAACTGTATGGGGTTAGGGTGCCACCCTATGACCTCTTTTATCCTTAATCATAATTACCATTTTACAGGCCCCATCTCAAACATAGTCAGTCACATTGGGGGTTAGAGACTCAACATATGAATTCCAGACACCATTTAGACCATTGCTACATGTGATTTTTCTGCGCGGAGACTTCAGTGAAGTGAAAGAGGAGCCCTGTGCTCATTTCGAGGAACAGAGTTCTAGGCAGAGGGAGCAGAAAGGACTAAATTCCTGAAATGGGAATATTTTTTTGGCGTTACGGAAGATACGTAAAGAGATCTGTTGTAGCTAGAGCATACCGAGAAAAGGGGAAAGTGAAACGAAAATGTGAAAGCACAGCTTGGAGACATATTGATCTAGGAACTTGACCACACTGGCAACAGGCCAGGGAAATGTGCCCAGAGCACGGTCTGTGATACCCACGCCCACCGCCTTGATTGCACGCTGCTTGGGAGTGGTGAGGTGGGTGCGGAGAGCACTGCGGTAAAAGTAGACAAGAGAAACTTCACTGAGTGGTTGTTTGGTGCGATGTAATATAATGGCATTTCAAAAATGCATTTCATTCCTTTTGGAATGTCTTAATTTCAAATTAGTTTTGTGTTTTCAGAGTTATTGATTATACACAAATTCAAAGATGATGAGACAGAAATTTCCCAGTGGAGGCCAAAATTAAAAACAGAAGGATTGACAGAAGCTCCAGAATGTAAAAGAATTAGTTTGTTAGCGTTTAAATTTGTTAATAATTTTCTCAGTCTATCCAAATATTCACTTTGCTTCAGGATTTTGTGTTTGCAATTTTGTATTCTTCTCTCTGAAATGGGGCCTCCCCTGCCCACCCACATGTATGAGTTTCAGACCTACAAAACCTGGGTCTGTTGCTGAGTAAGAGTAGGAACTTTAAAGAAGAATGGAGCC